TCCTGCTGGTAAAATCTCGTAATTTCAGGGCCGAAGGGAGAGCAAGGGAATCCTGGCTTACCTGGATTCAACGGAACAGATGGAGAGGCTGGTATTCAGGGTCCTCCGGGACTGCCAGTAAGTAAATTATATGTGTGCCATGGTGTAGCCAAGAACTCGTTTATCATTTTTTAATAACATCTTTTCTGGGTGCCTTAGTGTTTCACGGTGCAACAATAAAGTTATCAAACTGATGGGCCTTGATGATGTAAGAAGAATATAATTAAATATAACTTAGGCAGTTTATCGCACAGTTTTAGGAACATAGTTCCTTTATATAAATTTTATAATGATCATGTCTACTGAGATATAAAATATTAAAATTGTTTGAAATCTTTGCTATAAATTCTTGGTTAAATGAATATTTAATATGAGTGAAAAATACACTTTTAAAATTAATATTCATTGTCGAATTTTATTGTTGCACTATGTAGTATATTATTATGATATGTACATTTCATAAGAATGTAAAGTAATTCTTCTTCTATCCTTTGTAGTTTTCAATATTTATATATACTGATAAATACTAAATGTTATTAACAATGATATTTAATATTACTAAAAATAATATTCAACAATTTCAGCATTAGTACTATTTAGTAATTTCAGTATAAATAATATTTAATAACATTAAAGGTACTAAATATTAATTATATTTAATATTACTACGTAGATTACTATGGTTGTTCGAGGAACTAAATTGACATCCATCCCGTGTACATTTTTTGCCAATATCAAATATTTGTACAGGGTATTTCTGGACCTAAAGGTGAGAAAGGTGAATATGGGGATATTGGACCTCCAGGACTTATGGGGCCACCAGGTCTACCTGGTCCACCGGTACGTAAATTACTCAACTTGTCATTTGTTCCATTATTAAACACGAATTCCGTTCAATAAACGTTTAACGCTACCTGTGTTCTGCTTAAACAGGGTTATCCAGGGTTAAAAGGTGAAAAAGGAGAAAAAGGCGAATCGGTGAGTCTATCTCTCGATAATACTTTACCTGCAGCAGATAGATTATCAAAAACATCTCATATCGGACCTTTCCATTTTATATTCCCACTCGATAGTAAAGATGAGATATAATTGATTCTGGTATAAAATACCGTTCGTTGTACGAGACGGTTGTTGAATATCCATCAGTTTTTGCGCCGAGTAATCCTGATTCTTTGATTTTAACGTATGACGAGTATATCGTACTCGCCGTGTCAATTGCTTTGAAATCGAAGGCCAGACATAGTAAAGCCGTTTTAACGACACGTATTCAACAATTTCATGATAAAATCTATTTCTTTTCATGTCACGACATGGGGCTTCCACTGACAGAAATACAAGAAACTTAGGCGAAGGCAGGTACGTCCATAGTCGTTCGTAGTATATTCGTTATCCGGTACCATCGGTATTCGAAATTGTCGATGAAGCATAATAAAAGAATATTTACGTTATATCGTTCCTTTTATTACAGGGAGATGGTACGTTCGAAGTGAATGCCGGTGAAGTGGTGAGTAAAAGTACCGCTTGAAATTTCCATTCCATTTACGTCTTACCGCACTAAAAATATTATGACGTTTAAATAAACATTGAGCTCTGTTCGAAATTACACGATCAACTGTTTATAGATAATGGGACCACCGGGACCACCTGGTCCATCTGGTACTCCTGGGCTTCAAGGTCCACCTGGCATAAAGGGCGACCGAGGACACGATGGTGCCAAAGGCGATCCTGTCAGTAATCATTGTATACTAGAAAAAAAAAAAAAAAAAAAAAAAAAAAAAAAAAAAAAAAAAAAAAAAAAAAAAAAAAAAAAAAGATTTGTTCTATTTTCGTAGCAAGAAAACAAACTTCGCGTAATAACACGTATTATTGCGATTTTTATTCCGACCATGATTAATTATACGTTTTATTATGTACACAATTATAACAAGAAAAGTGTTTTAAAAAAGCGCCACATGAGTTGGCATTCTTTTGGCTGTATATACATATATATCACTTTGCAAAATAATTTAAATACCAATGTTTAAAGTATAATCTTAAGAATGACGAGAAAACGAGGCGTTAAAATGTACAATGAACATATTTTCACTTGGTCATTTTTTTTTTCATATTACAGGGAGAGAAGGGTGCCAAAGGAGATCCTGGTCCAATGGGACTACCCGTACGTATTTTCCTCTCAAGATTAGGTTTGTAGGTTAGGTAGGTTATAAAACGCGGTAAAATACCAAGAGTAAAATCAATTGAGCATATAATGGGAAATCATCGAGAAAGTTAAAAGTCACGTATTCCTAAGGAATTAAAGAAAGGTATATTAGCTTGAAACAAAATCAAACATAATACATAATATCGTACACGTATTCGATTTACAGTAGTAATACAATAATAACAAATTCGACCTTATTGCTAGAATAAAACGAGAAAGACGTGCGTAGGTGATAAAGGATACGAGCTAAATAGGTACACGATACGTAATACATCGATGCCATGAATAGGAAGAAAAAAAAATAAGAGGGAAGAGATGCAGCATGTTTACATATTTCTTTAAAATTCATCGTCAGTGTATTTTATTTCGTGTCGCACTGTAATCGAATTACTGATCAAAGTATTTGTTTCTTTGCAGGGCCCCATGGGACTGAGAGGAGAATCCGGAAAACCCGGGGATGCCGGGAAACCTGGTGCCACGGTAAGAACGCGGACCTCTCGCTCCTAACGTCATCGTTATTTGGCCTCGCTGCTGAATCATTACTAGGCATTCACTAACGACCAGTGTAATCGATTGTCGCTCATTCGGCAAGATGTACTTCGCGTCCTCAGCGAGATCCTTGATTGCCTCTCGAGTATGTTGCCTTCCGTGTCGTTTCCTGTACATGAACGATCACAGTTCGATTATCATGATCGTACAAGATACGTATAAAAGTCATAGAAAGCGACTCGAGAGACAACGAGACAACATAGGCGATACGAGTTATTCGAAAGGATCTCTTCTCGGATTAACAACTTGTCGGAAGTTTTCAATGTTACAGTCATATCGTTAGCATTTATTGGATAAAGTGTAATCGCGAGGATGAATGTTAGTAAATCGCTTTCGAGTCGTTATTACGAACAACAGAATGTCTCCGAGTATCGGCTCGTGGATTTTTAGTAGCTTCATCGGTTTGTTATCGATCGGAATCTACTAACGATATTCCTCAACGATGAATAATGGTAGGGAGCTTAAAGGACCGTCCGTTGCAAAAAGGTTGCGGGCACCGTTGTGATATATCATGCTCTCGAACATAGCACCCAGCAACGGGTGAAGGTGGAAGGATTTTACTACAATTGATCGTTATTCGAGCAAAACAAAGATCGTACGAATCGTGTCTTACGTGTGCGGTGGTAATAAATAAGGTGACTGTACTTGTATTACATAGTGGGTACATTCACGTGTGCAAAGTGTAGCAGACGTAAAATATAAAAAGATAATTACTTGATAGAAGATAATTGATAATTTCGATTTATGGATTTCGTGTCAATGTGTGACAAGAGTGAAGTTTCGGGAGAAACAAAGCGTCTTCCATAGATATTCGATGTGTACGAGTAAATCATTCGATGCTTTTTTTTCGATATTGAAATACAGATACGCATTACGTCGGTGCTGTACATTTATTTATCCAACGTAATATTTAGCGGATGATCGCACTACCATCCGTCCTTTTTAACATATTCTATATATGTTTATCTCTACAATCATTTATGTGTGCGTGTGTGTGTGCGTGCGCGCGCGCACGTGTGTGTATGTTTGTGTATGGTGTGTGTGCGCATACACCGAAGGAAAAGCGTAAAATCGAAATAACAAAGCTTTAGCGTTATAACGTGGTAACGCGGTACGAAAGCTAAGCAAATTTTGCCTTACATTTTTAAATTAAACTATAGATTAAGATGATAGATGACTATGTATACAACTTTTTACGATACTTTACAAGCTATCGAAAAACACTATGCAAAACATTTTATTGATAGCTCGATGAAATTTACTGTTTGTTTAGACATATCTTTTCCTTATGTATTTTATTAATCTTTTTGTTTGTTCCTGGATAAATTTCATGTTAAGTATTTCATTCTTTGCCACTCTTCTTTGTAATTTTATTTATTCGTTGTTCAATTTATTTATAGTCAGTTTTCCCCAATACTTGTCTTACTTGTGGAGTCACAAGATATATGACTAGATACACGTGTTAAATGCATATTTTTCTATTTTACTTCCTTTTTCTTACATATATTTTACTTAAGATAATAATGTGTACTTAACGAATGCATTCTATACTTTTTTACACGTAACAATAAGAATACTGTCTATAATTAGTTTTCTCTTCTGTTGTACTTCTGCATTTACTTTGATGCAATTGAAACATGTGTATTTTTTTAATGGCAGTCTTCGTTTATTTTTTATGCGCCGTATGAAGAAATAAAACGTATAAAAAGCCATAGGAAATCATTGTTTAGGTTCTTTTTTATTATATGTAAATATTTTGTCACCGAATATTAAAAAGTTTTTCGTATCTTTCGTACCGCTGAAAATACAAACCTAATTGCATTACAATTTTGAAAATATGATAGATTTTATAAAAGTCACTTGTATTGTGCAATTGAAATTCGAGATACTTATAGATTTTATTGATATTATTTATCAAACAATCTCGTTACACGATATTATTTCACAAGATGACTATACATAAGTTTCATTTTCATTTTAGTTTTTAAGAGTATTACGATCAGTAATTGTTATAAGACACATCGATTTTACATTTCAATAATTGAAAACATAGTATAATTTATATGACATCGAAATCGATTAATTTTACAATCACGAAGCGTATATTTTTTTAATATGTTTATTATTTTTAATATATTAGAAACATGTACTTACTAACGAAAAGTTTTTTATATTGCATAAATTTAAAACTTCTTCAAGTTTTATAACCCCAACTAATTTTGAAAAAATATTATTTCTTAAGTGCATTCAATTTAGAACTAATTTTAAAGCTTATTTGCAATGCGTTGCTACATCAAATATTTTTGATACCTACGAATAATAATTCTAATTTTGCTGTATTTTTTTAACAATATAATGCATGTTTACGTACAAATAACTTGATATAAATTTTGGTTCATTAGCAATATTAATATATGGAGAACTAATTAGTAGCTTAGATAAATGCGAAACAATTGTTTCCATGACAATTGCGAATACCAATAATTTTGAAAAATGCAAAGGGAATTCTAATTAAAAAAGATTGATAGATACAATTAATAAAGGGCCTAAAGAACTCAATAGTGCAGAGTGAAGATACGTGCATCAACTTACAGTGTACTTAATGATTCGAGAATACGTGTAAATGAGTATATCCTTATTTGTGATCCTAGTCACTTATAACGTTCATACGAGTAAATACGAGAACACGAGAAAGTTGTACAATTTAGAATAATATCGATACTGTAGAGATGGGGTTACCAATGTGTTAAACAATATTTTGCTGGCCTCGGTTAGAAAACGGTAATAGCTATCGTTTCTCTATGCATATCCTAATCGAAATACATAGTGATTAATGCGAGTAGTTTTTAATAAGCTAACGGAATGAGTAAAAGTATGAAGCTCTCGTATCGTGAAAGCACTTTAATCGTAACGCTAATGCGCGGTTGAAGCATACGATATATACATGTGAATGTGCGCTCATTCGTGGTGAACAATCCATACACGTGCATATGCACACAGTTTCAGAGAAAAAGTAACTGATCGTGACGTGTATGTGTGTGTGTATACAATTCGTGTATGTGTATGTATATACGTGCACGTACACGGTTATAGGTGTACGTGCGCACGTATATACACATGCATGACATAACGAGTATAAAGGTATACGGGGAAAGCACATAACATTTCGTGCGTGCGTATGTGTGTATTGTAAAGCGGCGCGCCTTGGTAATTAACAAAAGAAAATTATAGAGAAAAATACGACGACGTATTTGCGTATAAGAATACTTGACTCTAACAATTTTGTTTTACATTGTCCCAATTAATAAACAGAATGTGCATGTGCCTGTGTCCTTTGCTTCTATACGATGCCCTTCGAAATTTAACGCTTCTCACACCTTGTAGTGAAATTACCGCTTTGCATTTTGCTCTGGCTGCGATCCGACGATCATTTGTTTAATTACTCTCATCACTTTTTTATATACTTCCATTTTTTTTTCTCGCCTTCTTTCTTCTGTCCGCGAGTATCTGCACTTCTCGTACAAAGAATATCAAAAGAATATAAAAGAATATAAAAGATAAAAATTAACACGTGTTAATTTGCTGCAACCACGACGGTAACGTAATTGTTGGATCGTTATGCCATTTCGTAATACATAATAGCGAAGGTGTTTTAAGTCACAATTGGCATACCAATATGAATTCCGCTGGTTTTTTATTTTTTTTTCTTCTATTTTTCTCGAATTCAATTAAGCTCCCTCTTTATCTTTATCCTTTGCCTAACGCCCATCAATTGTATTCTTGCCTCGCTCTCGAACGACCTGCGATAACATCGTGTAATCAAATTTACTGGCCTTTACCGATTAAGACAAGAAATTTTATTTATCGTGATAACAAATTTTATAGGGTGAACGACATCTGTTTAAACTGATTTTAAAAGCTTTTAAAAATTCTAGAAGCTTTTAAAAAGCTTTCAAAATTGGTCAAACTTTTATCTAATTTATAAAAGCTCAAGGAACACCAGACATTTTTCCATTTTTTTTATTATAATTTATCACGTTATTACTACATCTTATAGCTACACTGTAAACAATATTAAATACAGTTTAAACATTGTATATAATTTCAGTATTATCTAACACATTCTTTATGCTGATATGGGATAATTCATTGACCCCATAAAATTTAGTAGATTATTCTGTTTGAAGAAAAACAATGAATTAACGTGTGCAATGTGATTCTGTTATTCCAATTATTCCTTGTTATTATACAAAACAGTTGTAATTTTCTAAACATAAGCAAAACTATGATCAATATTATTGCATTCTGATAATCCTCATTCTTTCTAATCAATATACGTACAATTAAACTACAAAATATAATTACTTGATCACTTCTAAATGGGTAAATTTATAACAATATTCCAGTTTACTTTTTCAACATATACACGCAGATATACTCCACCTCACACAGCAGTCGATCCAAAATTAAAACAGTTTTCCGAAGAGCTTGGCAAGATGCAATATTGCTGTGAATGACGGCGCAGAGGGCGTCTAATCAAATTTCTTAATAATAAAATTACACTTGAATCGGCATATTCGATATTGATTATCAGGTGACTTCAATGAATTTGACAAGGTTTCCTCTGCCTTTCAGGGGACATCAGGATTAGACGGCATGAAGGTGAGCAATCCTCGGGGAGACCCGTTTAACCATACATTATATTTATGATTTTTGGATCCTCGATAACTACGCTCACACTACGATTTCATCATTCAGGCATAGATTAAGCTGGTTGCAAACTTGACGGTATTGTTTAAACATATAAATGTAGAGCACAGTGTTCGTTATGTTTCTTCATACTTACAGGGTGCACAAGGAGAACCAGGCACAAAGGGAGAAAGAGGGGAACCTGGCCTACCTGTAAGTACCTTTCTTTAATAGTTATTTAACACAGCAAAATAGGTCGAATGATTTATAACTCACCCGATAACCGACCCATTGGTCCAACTTCAAATTTAATTCTAATCGTCAATAATATTTCGATTAATTCGTTAATAATTTCGTAGACATACTCCCGCATGAAACTTAAAAATCGTTTGATCCCCCTGAATTACGAACGGCTTGATGTCCAACATGAATCATACTGTGTCGATCTAACTGTTTAACCGAACTGAACGATATTTCATCCGGCTGAAACACGATTACATTGTCGTCGAGACACCAACGACACCATTCTGTTTATCCCCAGGGTACCGATGGAATTCCTGGCAAGGAGGTACAGTGGCATTCGATTATCGCTCGCCCCTCGGTGTGACTGCGACACAGTCTAACCAGCCCGGGGTAACGACGATACATCTGCCTGATCTACCCCGGGGACTGCCCCAAAATTCGTCTCTTTACTTCTTTTGCACGAAAAAAGAGGGGCTGAAATTAAGTTTTGCGCCTTTCTCCCTCTTGAAGCCAACAATATTTTGCACGACTTCTTTACCCTGCAAATCTTCTCGAAAGCTATTAAGAGAGATCCTCCAGTTTGATAGTACTTGCCACTCACGAGTATTTGGTTTTGCTTCAGAACATGCTCGTATCGGTTTGATCAGATTACTCTGCAGATTTGATAGCTCGACGATCACACGTGAGATAGATTTAGATTTGATTGTTGTCCACTTACGTTGTCACAGAAAGGATGTCTTAAAGCTTTACAATCCTATTTCAAGTAATCGCAGCAATTTCAAGGAAGTGTAATGTCACTATGTTTTCTTTTAATTGCAATCTTAATGTCACAGAGCAATGAGCATAATAATGGAATCAATAGCCAGAGACATTGTCTGTTGAAGAGCTAAGTTCTTTTATCTACTGAATTATCTGTGGTTAAGTGACAGTTCTTGAGGCTAAAATATGCCTGTAGGAGACTAGGTACACGTATAATCTCTGGAGACATCACTGTTGCTGGCATTCAATCATTACGATCATTACAAGTAACTGATCAGACATTTGCAGTATCAATTTAACTCTCAAACCTTGAATGAAAAGAAAAATGACCATTAAGAATCACAAATACAATAACATTCAAATACTAAAAAATTTTAATAAATTACCTCGCAAGAATAGTTATTATAAAATGATTCAATTTCCAAAATTGCTTGTCCATAATCTGTTTAGTCAACGAATATTTGCCAATCTTATTCTGTCAGTGTTACAAATTTTAAATGGAAGCCTCGATAAAGTCCATCTTAAAATAAGAATTTTCAAAATTATCATCTACTATTAGTCTTGAAGAGAGGGAGAAGCGCATAATTCTCTCACATTTAACACTCGGATTTTTAAGGAATATACAAGCTGAAAAAACAAACTGATCGTACAAGTCATGATACAAACGCGAGATAGGGGGGCAAGTAAAACGGGCTAACATAGCTTACATTGCTTGCTTCTTTCTCCAGTTCACGCATTTGTGATCGTAGTTACATGTTATGCCTTTGAAAGCAAGTTTCGCATAGAAATGTATAATAAAAATAGTTCTTTTCCACAATACGTATCGTGCATGTAGAAAAGAAACGAAGAGAGGCACGACCGTCACTTAACGAATAAATTCTTTGACGTACCATTTCCAGGGACCGAAGGGAGAGAAAGGTGCTGAAGGCGAACCTGTGAGTATTGACGAAATTCGACTATCAGTTTTAAATAATTGGGCAAGGAAATCGTAGTTTGGCGAGCGAACAAGCTCATAAACATTTAAATATACAGTGTCTGACGAAAAATCCCTCGTTCCAGATCTAAAGTTTATCAGTTCGGAAATTCATTACTAGTATCTTACTCACATTTATTGTATTACCATTATCATTAACAGCAGCATCATTATCATAAATTACTACCACGTCACTACTAAGACTAATTAATAACCATTAGTATTGCGATATTTAATATTACTAAATCCATGGATACCTCTCTATCAAGTGTGTCGTCATTCAGAAACTATGCTATAACAGTACGCACCAATTTAACATTCACTGACCACTTTTTATCGCAATATTTGTAACACAAAGTATAATTAATGTTTGATCAGAAATAACGTGAAATTAATACCTAACTCGACGATGGTCCAATACGATATCGTATTTATGCATAACGCATGTAACAGAGTAAATGTATATGTTCTATTTTACACATCGTACAATACTTAAAAAAGTGTCATCGAATTCGCGATATAAAAGTTCATATAAGAACGAGAGGAGTAACAAGACATTCGAATTCACGTTTATTTCTTCACTGACACGTACTTCCACGTGATACGTATATACTACGTATGCTGCCACCAGCGTATAGTAAAAGCGTATATGTAATCGCTAATAATTAATAACTTCTTTGGAAACGTAGTAACAATTAAGGTACGAAGCAAAAAAGAAAACATGTAGCATATTCTCACGTTCTTTTTCCCTAATACTTGACAAAAAACTGCAAGATAAAAACAATTTCAAAGTACACGGTCAAGTTTAAGACAGAGAATTTCTCGACGCCTTATTGTTGGACGTTAATGCTCAATTGCGTATTCTGCACAGTTAATCGAGTATTATTATGCATAAAGAGATTCTTTTTGTGCCTGGCCTTTTTTGCACGACCGCGAAAATATTTGCCTGTAAGCCATTTAGATATTGAAGCATCTCCGTGTATGAATACAGGGACCGCCAGGGAGACGCGGTAAGAAAGGCGACAAAGGCAACAAAGGAGATCAGGGTGTACCCGGGCTCGATGCTCCCTGTCCATTAGGGACCGACGGACTTCCGCTAGCAGGATGCGGTTGGAATCAATCACAGGTATCTCACGTTCTTCCTATTCATTTCAATTAATTCTTGTCAGCTGAAGCCAGGTCGGAATAGAGGACTTCCTGTCATATTATTTCTCACGTTTTCTTTCCCTTGTGTCTTTATACTTGATTAAATGTTCCCAAGTGTATGTCAGACGTCTCATCTGGAAAAGTATCAATTGTTATTAAATCGAATAAGCATAAAGTCAACGAAATAAGAATACTTGGCACGGTAATTGTAAAGTATTAAACCGTATCGACTAAGTATGCTTTTGTTGTGGACTATAAGTGCCGACTACGAGCAAAGTAGAAAAGGTATGAGAAAGAGGAAAGATGCAACCAGCGTAAAATACGAATGGTCAGAAAGGGATTTGTAAAGAACTAAGTAGGTACAACAAACGCTTGGATTCTCGTATATGCTTAGCAGGACATCACTAGCACCTCGATACCAGCTGTCGAAGGTCCTGAACCCGCAGAAACGGATTACGAGGAACCAGGAGAGGAATACGAATCCGGAGAGGTGTATACGGATCAGAACGGAAATCAAGCCGAGCAATAATTGCTCGTTGTGCGCTGCCCTAATCACTACCAACAACTACCACCACTACTACCACTACCATCACCACTACAACCACCAAAACCACCACCGCCATCGCCCTCATCACTCGTCTCACCTTGCTCTCCCAAACTAACGTGGTCCTGGTAATTGCAAGTCCCGTAGTTATACTAACGTTGTATGCATGTTTAATCAGCAAGACACCATGCTCCTAAATAACAAAAGAAAAAATTCTTTAGAAAAAAATCTTGCAACTTTATTCCTTTTCATTTTCATTGTTTGATTATCCAATTGTTACCTCTATTTTATTTATATAGAATCCATGTAACCCGTGGTAATGATCTTGTTTAAACTGCAAATCGAATATTTTGATGCTTACATCTACTCTGCTTTCCTATCCAAAGAAAGATAGAAAAATTGGTAATATTAAAAGAGTTTAGAAAAGTTAGAGAATTCAATTTTCTGTGAGAGTAGATATAAATAAAACAAAACAGTTAGGATGGTCACACTGAACCTTGACTTCCAGTGAGATATTCCAATTCATTTTGTTTACTTTCTGATACTTGGAGCTTCAAAATGGTGGTCAAGAAATTAGCAATAGCTTTTGCAAAGGTTCGCTTTTAGCCGTATTAATTATAAAAAATGCCTATCTATAAAAAAAGATAAATAATATACGAGAAACAGTAAAATACACTCCTACTTGCCTACTTGCTACATTCTCGTCTGCTTCGCTTTTTGCACGATGTCGCAACTTGTAATCGTAACAAACTAATAATTAATGAAATGCATAAGTAACGAAAACGAATTCGTTTCGAATAAATAGCAACCTGTATGTAAAAGCATCGTACTTTCTACACTTCAAAGTGACCATCTTCTTTTTCATTTTTGAATGTAAACGAATCTTTTTGTATTTGCTTTAAGCTTTACGAGATATCTCAGCAATTATCTTACAACAGAAATCCTTTTCAACTCGTGTTTTCAGAGAAGAAGGAATATTCTTCACGATTGGCTCGAAGAGGAAGCTAAAAAAGAAGGAGGGCAGTGATACAAGCATGTTAAAGAAGATAGTACATATTTTCAAGGACCTCTGTGTATACTCCATCGTAAAAATACAATTCATCCAGTTTAACGCGAAGAGAACCAAGTTATTTAAGAAAAAGAAATATATATATTTTTTTACATATATATATTTTTTTTTCTTTTTTGGCATATACATACATATATGCCGAAATAATCTTCTTGCCATCGGGTGTTGTAAATAAGTGTACTTACAGTGTTTAGCGTCCGCAAATAGTGCGTGTACATAAATATTTAGAGCTTACTACCGGAAATGCGGTTAGAACGACATCATAATTTTATCGACAGTTTGTTTATAATGTAAACGTAAACATCAGTAATTTATAAATTACTTTATTTCTAAGGGAAGTTAAATTGACGACCGAATTATCCAAATATCGTTCACACAACGTAACATAGCGATAGGAAAGTTCTAAAACAATAAACGATTTATTGGTCTATCGATATCATTGTCAACGTGTGTTCATTTTTCAAATACGTTGGATTTCACATACAAGATTAATTTCTCTCTTTCTCTCTGCGTATTAGTGAAGCAGACAAGTTTTCTGAAAACGGAAATATAAAAAGTATAAAACGTTTAGAATTTTCTTTAGCTGAAAATGAATTTGAAAAGGAAAACCGTTAATTGTACCTTTTAAAGTATTGTTACCTTGAACTCTATATTCACGTAAATTTCAGTCACCGTTATTCTTGTGTTTATTTATTTGTTGGCTAAAATGCAATCAAACGCATTTAAGCATAAATATGATATGTATTTATAGAGCTTCGACTCATTATTACTTTTATTATACATACATCATTATGTTTTTAAGCTTTTTTTTTTTATTTAAATTCTATTATTTTCGAGGGATCTAATTTTTTTGTTTATACTGGTAAAATTCCTATTTTTATTAAAAGATCGATGGTGTATAATTGTTATAACGATGAACAGTTGAAATTTATTTCCCCAGTGTGTGTTATTTATGTGCACAATACATATATGCGTACCTGTATCATTTTGTCGCCTTTGGTACGTCCAATGAAAAAGTGCACATTTCTGCACGTTCGCAAGGGAAAATTTTTATACAAATATCAGTTAATAATGCATATCTCGACATAATTTTCATCTAGATTAGTAATAATACAAACTGTAAAGCAAAGGAGTAATGTGTACACTACTGTCAATACTATCAAGTATTGTTAAATAAAGAATAAGTATATATCTATCGTTTTCATATTGGCATATAGCAAATCCCAAGATGAAATCAATTCCTACTTATATACAAAAAAAATAATAAAATAAAAATTTAAGAGTGTAAGATTGATTTGTTATTGGATGATTAAGTACATGGTAATACTATGTTTTTAACATATTACGCGATTTTCTGAATGTATTCCTAAGTTGAGTTTGATGTCTTCTTCTTTTGTAATATTACAAATAACAATCTTTCAGGTACTAAAAACTTGATATTGACTATTCCTTAAAATATATAGTACTATTTAATACTACTTTATTTTATCTATTATTTAGTTTTATTATAATTGATGTACAATGTAGAAAAAAATAACATAGTAATGTAATCAAAATTATATCTTTTTACAGTTTAAGTAACCTATATTTCTTAAAATATGATTTTACTTTATCCATTGGGTAAGGTTTTGTTGCCAAACTTGTTGGAATATTTTCAGGCTGTTCCATCCAGAGCTTATAATCGATGTTCTCATTTGTCAATGTTAAACATAAATTGTTTAAACTGGTCTCATCTGGAACCTAACATTTATATACATATAAATATATCCATATATGAATATATTATAAATGTCACCATACTCCTTCGCTGTTTTAAAAACTGTATACATAAGAGTTATGCACAATAATACATACAAATTGACGTCTAATACCTATAATATATATAGTTCCTGGATATACTTACTTCCAAGACAATTTTGTGCATAGCATCTAAATTGGCAAGGTAGGCTTGTGTGTAATTGTCATTATAAAAAAGATGAGTAACAGCAACGCACGCATGACATGCTTGAGCTGTAATTGCGCCAATGGGCCATCCCATTGTCCTCATAAGATCTCCTCGTACCACCACATACTGAACTAGCATACTCATCCTAACAATGCAAAAGATATTTAATTTTCTTAGGACACCATAAAATTATAGATTACTCAAAAACTATCACAAGGCTAATCTCAATGAATTATTAAATTTTAAACATTCGACAATGAAACCCTTTTAATTTTCTATATACTAAATTTAGTACAATTTACAATCCTTACATAATAAGTGCCAAAAATATATATAATTCATATAAATAAGAAAACAATAGGAAGTACTTTCAAAGTATTTATCTATTGAAATTATGTCTGTTTAGTATTCTAATATCCAAAAGTAAAACACAGATATCATTGTATTATTCTTTTGGCGTTGTAGTTTAAATCAGATGTATTATTTATATAAATTGTTGTTATTAAAGACAAATTACACATACATAAATACTGTGTATATGTTACAACGTTCAAAACATAATCCATTTATGTAAAATACAATAACTGTACATTTAAAATATTTTCGTTATTATTAATATACTACAAAATATAACTTGCTGCAATTTTTTTACAAATAAAGGTTTAACAAAAATTTGTTTACCTTCACTTCCTTAATTACATTGAATTTTTATAATTTTATCGAAATAAACATTTAAATACATCATAATTTTATTACTAAATATGTTTTATACTGAATTTTCATTTTTCTGAAGTTTCTGTTTTGACAATATTATATTCTATATCCCTGTATTTGAAAAGGCTTAAGGTCCATTTACATTGAACAAATAAATAGTTACATTATTAACATACTCCTGAGTTTGATATTATTGTTTATTATATTATTTAATATTTTTTACTATTTCATATACATAAATTGTATAATAATATAACAATAATATAAAAATTACAATTTCATTTGTTACAAAAAAATAATTAAGATAATTAAAAAACCTAATGATTACAGAAACAAGAATCCTTATTACCTATAACAGTAATTATTAACAATTAGAAAAAATATTCATATTATCTAAAAAAAAAACCTTTTTTATTTTCGATATGAAAATTTGACTGTTTCATGCAACATTTTTTCATGCAACAATGTTACATATAAATAGTTTTTAATAATACCTATTAAAATATTAAATTAATATAGCTTTATGAATGAACTTTATTGACAGATAAACTATAATTTTTCATTAGAGGGCACTGCAAGCTGTAGATGGCGCATATAGTTCTCTTTGGCCACAAATATTAAACACTAGGTAAATTCTACTGAACCGGTTACCAGTCGCATACTTCTTTGGAAGCCAGACAGTACGTTAGAAAGCAGTCCGGTGTACGGTACAAAAAAGTCTTTGTTACAAAAGAGAAGGTATTAATTTTATATAACGCATTTAACATTAAACCAATATTTATATATATTTAATTTTCAAATAGTTTCAATTCTAATTCGATTGTCTTTATAAATATTCAAATGTAATAATATTTGTGAATATAAATTTAACAATCGCCAAATACTATTACAAATATAGTTACAAATAAACAAAAAAAGGGAAACAAGAATTACATTTTATCATTCCGTTTAATGTAGAGTAGGTTTGTATAATCGAATTTTACTTAGGTTTTTCTCTTTTTGCTAAGATTCTTCCTGTTCCTTTATGGAAAGTTCTCGATGATGCAAGAACCACTCATGAACAAGAAATATTGTACAACGAAATACTTGAATAGCACGTTCTCAGTACAAATCAATTTATAAGTTTTATAAATAGAATTCAGTTCTGTTTTATCAAATTATATACATCACAGTGTATATTTTGATACTTTTTAAAATGTATTTTCATGAATATGTAAAGAAATTTATACTTGCAAAATATGTCGTAAATTTTAACGTTTAATTTCGCATAGTCATCACAGTTATCATAAACGTACTTAAAGCGTATATAGATTAACTATTTTGTTTAGATTGTGTCGATAGTATTTAAAAGTACAGTTAATTGTAGTGCTCATATTTTTTTCTAAATTTAAACGTTAATAGTTTTGCCTTGTTATTTGTTAAAAGGAATTTTCGTTTTTCACAATTATTTTATTATTTCTCGTAAGATTTCTCAATTAATTTTCAAGTTAATTAATAAGTTAAAGGTTAAAGATAGGATAAGCAAGATTGATTTTTGTAAAATAAATTTAAATATAAGAATTTTAGAATGAATCTCAAATTATTACTGTAATTTTAATTAAAGAATTTATTATTATATTAAAATTTTGTAATTTGTTATATTTTATATGTAAATTTTTATTTTACAATTGTGAAATATGACTAGTTTTACTATAAAACAAATTACTTTAGAAATATGTTATTATATTATATTATTTATGCAAACAAATAAGTTTTTGTTAAGTATTTTTGTCTTATGGATATTATAAAAAACTAGAGAATTATATAGGACTATAACAATTTGTGCATGAATATTGGAAGGTTAAAAATATTGAGATGAAAATTATCTGAAACAAATACTTTTTAGTTTGTTTTATAGAAAGATTTCATTACTACTGATACAAATGGCCTTTTTTTAAATTGCAGATATCTAAAACTTGACCATGCCAGTTCCAGCACTTCAAAAACCTGCTCCCGCTTTTAAAGGCACTGCTGTTGTAAATGGAGAATTTAAAGAAATTTCTCTTAGTGATTATAAGGGAAAATATGTTATATTATTCTTCTATCCATTAGATTTGTAAGTATTTCGTTCCATGATTTTATATATTTGAAAATATGCTTCCTGAACTGTATATTACATATTGTTTATATTATTTTTTAGTACATTTGTTTGTCCAACTGAAATCATCGCCTTTTCTGATCGAGCTCACGAATTTGAGCAAATTGGTTGCAAACTTGTTGCAGCATCTACTGATTCTCATTTTAGTCACTTAGCATGGGTAAATACACCACGAAAACAAGGTGGTCTTGGTGAAATGAACATTCCCCTTCTTGCTGATAAAAGCACTAAGATTGCACGCGATTATGGTGTACTTGATGAAGAAAGTGGAATTCCATTCCGTGGTCTCTTTATTATAGATGATAAACAAAATCTACGTCAAATTACTATTAATGATTTACCAGTTGGCAGGTAAAGTTTATATGATGAAAGAATATTTCCAACATATAATTTACAATGTTTTTTGTATTATAATAAATTTATTTATTTACAGATCTGTTGATGAGACTTTACGTTTGGTTCAAGCATTCCAATATACTGATAAACATGGAGAAGTCTGTCCAGCTGGTTGGAAACCAGGAAAGAAAACTATGAAGCCTGATGTGGTTGCCTCTAAAGAATACTTTAAAGATTCATAAATCAAACAAATAAAAGAAACGTATTTTATTTAAAGCTGTCATTTGTGTACTATATTTTATTCTGAACAAATATCAGTAGATTGTTTTGTAATGGATAGGATATATTATTTAAAATTGTCACTAATTATATTTTCAACATCAGCTATTTTCATTAATTACAATAAATAAGTGTCTTTTATACATTGTGTACTTTTATCACACATAAATAACCCATTTCAACATCTACTTTATTTTTGTTTAATGTTAATAGATAATACAAGCCTTTAAACTGAAGATAGCCATTGTTAAGTATTGAATGGTTTTTGTTAGTGTTTTAATTTTTGAGAGTATAAGTTTGAAATTATTCAATTGACATCATTAATTTATGAATGAGATCATATATGTACAACTCAATAACTTCCCAGTATAGCAAATGGAATTTTATAAGTCTATATATATCATTAAATTCTACAATACACGATGACTAATGACTGTGAAAAAGTCATTGCTAAAACAGGTTAAGAAATTTACAAAATATCTAATTAAAATAATATATATTAATTACAATAAGAAAAAAGATAATTATATACTAATTTTTCTTAAATTAAGATATAATATTCTCAATAAAAAATGCATTACGATATTAGTAATCTTGGTTGTTAGAAATTTTATGGTTGCGTACAAGGTGTTTCTGAATTTTTATCATCGGAAAAGAGGTAAAATGTCGTGTAAAGGTAAGTAATAGTGTAGAATAAAATTTTTTCATATAGGACATCATTTTTGCAAAAATTAAGTTTGAATATTTATTAAATACATGTACATTTAATTAGCCACAATTTGCGAAGTTCATACGGTATAGTTCATCTACCATTTCTTTTATTCGAGTTAACAAATAATCTTACAATTACTCTAAAAATTTGGTAGAATTTTAAATAATGTATTAAGTTTTAATAACTTATGTTATATATTTTAATTATTTACAATATGGTTGAAAATATTGTACTTGATATCGTAAATTTACGACAAAAATGTAGTATTACCATTTTATTTTTAGAATGACATCAAAAAAATATTAAGAATGGTCGACACTGTTAATAAAAAAATAATATTTTATAATATATTCGAAGTAAAAAATTTAAATACATTATGAGTTCATATTCCTTTAAATTACCAAGAAGTATGATATTATTTATGAATGCAAATAAAAAAAGTTAGTAAGCTAGATTGGATGAAACAAGCATATCGTAATTAAATACATATATTTTCTTGAACATAGTCTCATATGAAGAAATTTTTATTTTACATTTTCGACTTACTTTTGGTACGCAATAATCTCCTTTCCAGTTGAACCACAATTTTAGGAACACCCTGTATAAAAAAGGACATTTATACACAGTGAGTTAATAATTCCTATATATGAATTATATCACTTGTCGAACAGAAACGTTTTACCAAGACAAGAGAAATATTTCGTATATCAATATGAAATACATGTTTTACAAGTCGTATTAAATTAAACAATTAATTAATAATACTGATTCATTCTATACCACTTAATATATTATACAAATAATACTTAATATAATTTAATTGCAGGATGGGGTTTTTGCCATTGTTTTATTATTGGATTATGTGGCATATGTGCATTTACAGAAGCTTGTGTCCTTCCAATTACTCTAGTTATAGTTCCATTTATGGCTTGTGATTTAAGCCTAAGTTCAGGTCACGTAACCGCTGTGTACGCTGTATTAACTTTAGGTATATATAAATTATGCAATGTAAATACAACAAAATTTTCTTTTTTAAAATTTAGTAACTAAAAATAAATAACTTCACATTTAGATGATATTTGATAAAATATTTAATTTTTTTTTGCAAAAAGGTAAAAAGTATAAAAAAAATGTTTTTAAAATATATTCTTTAATTTTTAAATGCCTAAGTATGAAATAATATTTAGATGCATACAAATAATTTGTTTGTGAATTCAAAGGTATCTTACATAAATATTCATACAGATAGTTAATGTGAACATATTATGTTAGAATTGATTAAATATAATAAATTAAATAATAATGAAATAAATACAAAATACATTTGCATACAAATAATGGCGAAGAAAATAATAAAGTAGCAATGAAATTTATAATAATAATAATTAACAGTATAAATATCTATGAAAATATCTAATGGTATATACCATATTTAATTGGAAAATAAAAAGAGAAATCTCTTAAATTAAGTTATCAAATTAATCAATGATAAAAATATTGATTTCCTAGATAACCTTGAAATTAATCAGTTTCCAAGATACTAATCACAACTTTGTTTACTTAAATAGTAACTTTAATAGCAATAGACAATTTTTCCTAGATAACAGTCCAGACCAAATAATTATGGTTCTGAAAGAATTCTTATCATAATTATTATCGTTCATGTTTATATATAACTGTATGTATCTATAAATACTAAACAGTATAAAAATTTTGTAAAAATGCTATTTCAATCTAGCAGCATTTTATGTGACATTAATATTAATAATATTTAAACAAAAATTTTGTTAATATTTTGTTAAGCAAAATAATCATAATACGGGTTAATTATATGTATAAAACAAAAAATTAATGAAAACATTGGATATTTTCTTAAATAATTTATAGTATATTTTATAAACATAAGATTATGTACAGGAATGGCTGTAGGAGCATTTCTATTTGGAATAATAATAGATGCAAATGGACGTAAGAATTCAATTCCTGTTACTATGATCTTAGTGTCTTGTGCTAGCATCAGTTTATCATTTGCGCAAACTACTTTCCTGGTATACGTCTCGATATTCGTACTTGGATTGGGGTAAGTAGTAATTTTTTATAAATTATAAAAATATTGAAATAATTCTTATAAAAAATTACAAATTTTCTAATATTACATATTTCCATATATTACGTTACTTTTGCAAATAAATTTTTCTTGAAAACACTATCTATCTTCCATTACAACCAACTCAACGTGGAGCTGCTAATAAAAAGAAATTTGTTAAGTATTTAATAATAAATATATAATAATTATAAAGTATATATTAAATAAAGCGAAAATAATTTTTAACAAAAAGAGAAAAATGTGACAACCATCTCAGATTTCCCATACTCATTGCATACATATAAAAATTATATCTGTGTTATAGATTAGCTGGCAATAATGTAGTTCTAAGAGTATACCTAATAGAATTCATGCCCATGAAACGAAGAGGCTTTTACTTGGTTGTGTTGGACCTGTTGGGATTGATTGGCTACGTGTCTGCTTTAGGTAAAGAGTATAAACAGATAAAGTGAATCAAAATAATAAATCATTTAAAAGTCGAAGAAATATAAAAACAGTAAATTTATTAAATGTTTTATGATGATTGTAAATAGGATTATCATGGTTACTAATGCCATCGATCATTCGATTGCAAAATAAAAAATTTCGACCAAATTCTTGGCGAGTGCTTACAGGATTGGGAGGTATACCAAATTTAATTATGGCGTGTGCGAGCAGCTTATTACCAGCAAGTCCAAGATACTTACTCTATCGCCGACAATACGAACAAGCACTAATGATATTACGACAAATCTATGCAATTAATAATTCGAAGCATGCCGATACATATTTGGTGTGTTCATCTAGTATTACAATAATGCTCGCCTAAATTTCGGTAGAGTTGTCTCGTCTATATTTCAACGATCAATGTCTGTCTCTTCCCTACTACTCAGATTTTCGAGTTGAGTATACCGTGATGTTTTTAATATAGTCAGAGTTGTGCTCAGCAATGATAATCGAATCTAAACGTTTCAAAGAAATTCCACAATTTAATGAATCATCCAATTACAAAATTAAAGATTTCTATATTTTTCATTTAATCTTTTTGATAATAGTTGCAAAATATTGGCGAGGCTCTGTCGATAAAAATAAGACTAAATATGACACAAATTGGACGAGTTTTACTATATTTGTATTTAAAATAATGTTTTCATAAATGCTAGTTTATGACTACTCTATAATTGACAGTCTCTTGCGTCACCTATTCCTACTAAACAAAGAAGAATAGGGACAGCGATGAATAGTAGATTATATAGATGATTATATCGTTTTACGCAACTCAGGAATCTTAATTCTTTTGTGGAAATTTAAATACAATCTCTCGGAGAAAAATTCATTTTGTATAATTTTAATTTTTCTTCTGTAAATATTTGTTTAATATATTTAAATTTACGCGAGCATTATTTTTGTAACCTTTTGTTATTAGGTTTATTAAAAAATGCTTTTTTATTAAACATTTTATAAATTTTGTTTATTTTTATAAAAATTGTTACACATGTTAACAAAAATTAACTATCTTCTTATATCTTTTTAACTATTTTTCCGATTTATTTTAATATTTAAAAAATTTCTTGTATTCTCTATTAGTAGGTTTCTTGATATTAAATTTTAATCAGTTAAGTAAAAAAGTATCAGAGATTTACGATTGTTTCGAAATATTGCTTTAGTTAAGCAATTTAGATAACTGTGTTCGACCAGACGAAGAAGACGAAGGAAATACGAGAAATATGATGAAAATAATACGAAAATTCTGCGTGAAAACGTATAAACGCATTCAAGAGATTTGTCAAACTCCTTTCAGATGTACTACAATATTAGGAATCGGTATTAATTTTCTGCAATTTCCAGGGTAATACGTCATTTCCTCAGATATACCTTTAAACAAAATTACATTATTTAATAATACGAATTAATAACACTATCGAAATTATTATTAATATAAATTTCACTTTAACGAACATATATAACAATTAGAATAATTTGGTTGGCACTCTGGAGTACTCAACTACTACAAGAGAACTTCGACAAATCATCGAAGAAAAATTCGACGTGTATTATCGATATCGAAAACTTGGCATTAGAACTTTTGCACAATTGTCACGAGATGAACACGGATCGTTTTATAGTCCTCTTGTATTTATCCCTGAGTTATATATTAGGAGAAATTTTATTACTAGTTGGTATCGATGTTATCGGTAGAAAAATATTTTTAGGCAAGTATATTTCTAGTTCTAGTTGCTCTCTAACATTCTCTAATATTTTAAAAATTAATAAGCTTAAAAAATCTTGTCATGATACAAAATCTGTTTAAGATTTGAAAATTCTTGTTTTATTCTACTATATTTCTTTCTATTTTCTAGTGCTTTCAGGGATAGCAGGAACAGTGGCATGCATTGGTCTATTATTTACAGTTCATAACATAGTACAAATTGTTCTTTCAATGATCATATTAGCAACTTACGCAATTGGCCGAACAACAGCCTCGATACTCTTGTTGGAAAACTACTTTACCGGCGTAAGGTTAATTATTAAACAGTTTCTGAAAAGTCCAGACATGCACCTATTTATTATCAATATGAATTATTGTCGATATTATTAATATTATACGAAATAAATTTTTGTTAAGTTTCATATAATTTCAGGGGTACCATTATCGGTTTGTCCAGAGTATTTCCATATTTGTTTGGAAGTTTCTCAAAATTGTTCCTAAACATACAATGCCTTCCTAGTATTATTGTTATATCAGGAATTTTAATGAGTAAGTAAACAAAATCTTTCAATCTCATGCTGAAAATTTTAGTTTAATTTAAAGAGCTTATGGTTCCAGGTGCAGCCGTTGCAGGGTCACGAATGCCCGATCTAACCCGGTTTCCGATGCAAGAATAACTCGATAATGTTCTTATTTCTTAAATAATCTCGATAAATTATATATAACACTATACGAACGATAATATACTACACAAAGAACAAACATCTCTTATAATATAATTTTTTATTACTTTAAGACTCTAAAATTATATATTATATATATTAAACATTTTCGTGACGAAACGAGGTATCGAAATGAAGTGAAGGATAGTTTAAAAATTTAAAAATGACAAAAGTGTAGTAAAAGTCACGAGAATATACAAAGCTAATGCATTCTAACAAGAATTTATGGTGCCAAAAAAAGACACCGATGGTTAACCTATACGTATGGTATCTTGTGTATTAGGGGGTATGTTGGGAAAAGACATTCGCGAAAAATAATTGTATTGCAAGCGCTAACAAGGTATGCAGACGTGTATAAATACAAACGTGGGCGGCTATTGGAGAGAATATGCCATAGTCCTCTTCACCGTCTATTTTCGACGAGAACAGGAAGACCGTCTCTTCTGCACGATTATCGTGGACATGCTTTCGCGCATGCTCCCCGAACGCGGTGGAAAGAGCTTTGTCGTCACGAATACGCTCTTGTATCCGTTGTAAATACGAATGCCGAATGCTCGCTACCGAAAATAATCACGCGAGGACGTTGGTGCGATTTCAGACCGCCTCTTCCGCGGATGTCTTGACGCCGCCAAACGTAAAAAATGCATTCCCAACGTGAACCTTCGAGTTACTCGACGTGATACTTACCAATGATCTTTTCGTTTCATCGTCTTTGTGATAACTATCATTTTTCTTAAACGAATAATCTTAGGACGAAATATGATCGACCGTGTGTTTACGTCACGTTGGGTCAGTGATAAAGGATCGGCCGAGCAAGTTCCCATTGAAGTGTAAAGAAAGAATTGGAAAAGTGCAAAAAGCTCACCAGTGTCATTCGAGATTGAAAATACATCTGCTTCACCAGTGATTATTGTTTCACTTTATAGTGCTGATACAAAATTTAGCTCAAAGACGGCTAGCCATTGGAATCTATGTGAACACGAAACTTCGATGCCTGAGGTAACTAAGGATTTGTGCTACGCCTATGATATCCATGAAAATATGTATTCTAAAGTTAGATCACTCCGGCATATCTAGAGTATTAATAATTCGATTGACAAACTCGCGAGAGAAAATAGCGTAAACTGCGAATGTGAAACGCGCGTCCTGGGTAAAGCCAGCCAAATGGCTAATAATGAGAAAGTCGTTGATCAGAATGGTCAAAGGGCCGAGAGAATCCGTAAATCGTGTGCGAGTCGCGTCAATGAACAAAGAGCACTGTTTAAAACTAAACAGAGAGTGGATGAAACTGAATTACCTGCGCCGCCACCCGATCCATGGGCGAATCCATGGCGTCTACCAGGCTCACGGGATCAAGTGGACGAAGCACAGTATAGAAATATCGATGAGGACGAGGATCTAATCGCTTACCTGACGGATTTCGGGACGTTACCATTCGAAGGTCAAATGTCAGAGTGTCCTTCGAGAAATTCTGCTATGTCTGCAATGGCTATTTCAGGTATCTACGCGGAGGACGCTTTCGAACATTTGGATCGCCTCTATACTTTCGCTGAGCAAATACTCGAGCTCAGAGAGCGGAATTCGAAGTTTTTTAAACGCGTCAGGAATTTAGAGCGACTGAAAGTGTTGCGGGATGCCAATCACAAGCTGGAGAGTGCTTTCTTGCGAGACAAGGATGGAACGATTAACGTATGCGAAGAGGACACCGGATTCGCCGAGTCCTTGTTGGACGCTATGTTATCGAACTGCAGGGATTCTCCGCTTCAGAAACGGAATATACGATCGTCGTCAAGGCAGGCGAGAAACAAGCTCGATGTTGAAAAGCAAACCTCGGTAGATGAAGTTTCTGGGAACGGACCAAAAGTTTCTAAATGGACCAGGGTGAAAGCTGCTTTCAAGTGGGAACGAGCATACACGAACGACACAGAGATCGTGGATTCTACTGTAACAACGAATACGACACCAACGACATCTGTATCGACTCCGTTGATCAAATATCAAAGGATTCCAGAGGTTGAAATCAAGGAATCGAACAGTACCGCCACCTCATCTCCTGTTAATGAGACTTGTAACGCGGGAACTTCGTCTCCATCTTCATCCAATGAAGGATACTATGAATGTGAGTACAAAGTTCATCAATTTTTGTCTCATTACAGAATATTTTTAGTTATTTGTTGAACGTGTACTAAAGACAGTATGTTTTTAATATTGTCCATAGAACTAGTTTTGATATGTTTTTTGCATACTTTTTATGTTTTATTTGTTGATAAAATATCGTATATATTCTTTCATGATTCGTGAAATTTTTCTAGGCCCACAAAAAAATACTTTAAATTACTTAGATTATCAACCTTTAAAAAGAAAAGCCAATAAGAAAACTGAATATACAAATTGGCATAACGAATCTCCGGATGATAATATTCTTATATTGGATGCCATAAGAGGCAACGAAACAGGAATGGTAAACGAGGTAATCAAATTTTAATATTATTTGTAGGTTATGAAACATATTTTCTTTTAATACCATAATTAGAAGAAATTTCTGTCATCTGCTATAAAGTGGTTTTTAGATTGTGGCATAGATATTAAACGAGATAAATGAAATAAATTACACATATATATATATTGTCTACTTCATTTCTTTTGTTACCTATTTTTTACATATATCGATATATTTTAGCTACATAAATATCCGCCAATGAAAGATCATTGAACACATTAATCATAATCATCATTAATAACATATTCTTAATACTTAACAAATTATTATGTTATCAGATTGTAGATTCAGAATGACAATTATCAAACTTATTACATCAATTTCACTTGACATTGAATAGAATCTAAATTTCTATTCATATCTTCCACTCAACATTTATTTACCGGACATAAATGCACTTCTCTAAATGCTTCTCTAATTTTTGTATAAATTTAGGTCAGTCAAGGAAAGCCATTAATTCGAATCACATCGGAGAAAAATCACGCGACCCTGTCGAACAGGCTAGACGAAAAGGATACAGAATCAACATCAAAGAGATCAACTCCAACTTTAACGATCGCGATACCATCTCACGAGGATGACATCAGATACACGTCTTCCCCTGAATCAAATTCGCCACTCTTTTTCAACGCAAACATCTCTGCTGGTAACTCTCCCCAACAGAGGAAAACATACAGAGATCTGTCGATTAATAAGGATTTTAAACGCCAGGTTAATATTACCACTTAGACCTTCCTTTTCATGCCTATTAAATGCCTGATCGATACATTCATATTATTCTGTGAAACCCTTCGGGCAAATTCTACATCTTTCTGTTTTAATCTAGCGATCTTACGGTGGAGAGTCGGTAATTCTCACGTCGAAAATGCAGAGGCAAGACTCCAAATGGAACAAGGTTAGGCGGGCATTCTTAACAAACTCGACTCCAAGCTGTCCATCGAGTCTCTTCAACATCGTTACCAGACAGATTCTTTTTCAAGATGGTAATTGGATAAGACTTTTAATTAATTATACCACGGTACTTCTTTCTTAGCTTTAACCATTGCTTCCGACATTGATCACTACTGCTTTACTCTTTTAGCGGCGTAGACACAGTCGTTCAGGTGCTTCAAGAATGCTTGGCTCTTCTCGCGACAATCTTTCGAAATGTCTGTCAACGATGCCTTGTGATACTTGAGAATTTCACGTTGCAGCGTTTCGACCTTTATCAATCCAGACTGAGCGTTCTGCGAGGTTTTCTCTAGTATCTTCTCCGCGTAGTTCGCGTTCTCATCAACGCACTTGGCTAACGATGCAGGATTCTTGTACTTGCGACAGGAGAGTACCAGGGATTTGGCTCGGTTGATGCAAGACAAAACGTCTCGTTCTAAATTTTCGATCGTTCCTTTCATACGTTGTATTCGTGGCAAAGTGTCGTGGTCCACCTCGTCGAATGCCTGACGAACCTCGTGACTGAGAGACATGGCGGATTTCCGCTTCAGAGAGCCAAACGAGGGATCCAGAGCTAATAGCTTATGAAGCACTTTCTTGATGTCTTGCTGAATACCTTGCAACATGATCTGTTCGTTGTGATTAGACATCTCTATGTCTTTCTTCAGTTGATCAAACATAGATTTCGATTCTTTATGGATATTGTTTAAAATACTTTCTGCTTGCTTCGTGACATCTTGATATGCTTTCTGGTATTCGTCGGCGATAGTTTTTGTTTCATACTGGGATTAGAAAGAGTTAGATTTAGGTTATAACGGCTCGTTGGAGCAACAGTAAAACGAGGAAAGTTCATTACCTTTGGCGTAGATTTCGAGAATATTTTCTTGTAACAGATCCGTTCCTTGGATGACCTCGGACAATTAGCAAGCTTCTCTTTGTATTCTTTACATTTTGGTAATATCTGTTCGGTCTTAATTTGTCGCAGCTTTTTACATAGTGCCTTTGTGTCGCCGCATCGCTGACTACGTGCAGAAAATTTTGGAATATCGGTATGAATTTTTCGCGTGACAGGAACGATAAATTTTGTGACAAACATGCCAAAGGCGCGATACGAATGAGAAAGATAGTCAGGCAATCGATTCCTCGAACGACAAAAGAAGATGATTATTTAATGGCAGTCTTACATGTACGATTTAAAGCAGAATTTGCTTACAAGTATCTCCCAAGCTATAGCTTGTTTCAAAAATTGTCTCAAATGAAATTTATCCTATTTCGAAGCATCATCGTATGGTGGTTGCAAAGTTTCAAGACGATGGTTTTTTTAATATGTAACTGTATGTTTTTAATTTATAATATTTCGTTCTTCAGACTGTTCAGGGTCATTTAGTATCAGGGTTGAATTAAAACTGATATTACATTTATTATTATACCAATTATTATTATAATTAATTGTTATTAAATTAATAGTGACGATAGTCTTCTTTTTCATTTGTCAGGACTTGAATCATCAATGAATTGCAATTACAACGACAGTGTGGAAAATATTGAGAAGACGACACCATTGAGCGCGCAAGTGGACACGCGACAGAGTTACCGCAGCCTTAGAGAGAGACTAGGTACCGAGTTTCAGCAGAAACTCGTCGAGTGGGAGCGTTTAAAAAATTTTCCACCTCGTACAGCTAATAAGGATATTCGAGAAATGTCGTCTAGTTTACCAAGTCCTCGAGAAAACTTGCTATCCGAGGAGAGATTGGCGCCCGAGTTTAGGAAGAAGTTGCAAGACTGGAAGAGGGCAAAGAAAATGCGTAGAGGCAGTGCTCCGTTTGAGCAACAAAGGCTCAATCGACGTCGTCTGACCGATTGGCAACTTTGGAGATCTCCTTTGAAAAGCGAATATAGAACCAAAGAAGTTATAGCTCCGCATGTCGGCAATGAGAGTGGAGAAATGGTCAGTGATGGAAAACCGCAGGTTAGCGAAGATCCTGCGCGAAAAATCGAAGCTTCGAAGAGAGGGAACGAGACTACTGGTAGTCATGATGCAAAGTATCCGATACGATCGAAATCTAGTCAACTTGGGATTGCATCTGGAATTGATGAAACTGAATTTTTCGCCTTGGAAAGGTTACTGTCACTTTTTAATAATAACGCGACTAAAGGACGACGCGGGAGCGATGTTCAGCAGTTAGACGAGTGTTTCGACGGGGATGCAAGGTATGATGAAAACGCATAAATAAAATAGGTAGAAGATATTAAATAGAAAATTGAATAAGAAATTAGATATAAAGTAAATAGAATTAGAAAATTAAAATAAATATTTACATATGACATTGGTAATTAATAAATAGTGGTAATTATTTGTGGTATTGTGCTTTTCATTAATCAAAAATATAAGATTCTTATGACGATATATCTGCTTGTATCCAAAATATGAAACAGCTGAAACAAGAAAAGTACCGTTGAATTAAGTAATGTGTTTTATCTAAGGCCATTTGTTGATGGACCACAAAATCTAAATGATGCCAAAGAGGTTTTCGTTCGTACATCAGTTGGATCCTACCGATTTGAAGGTATTTCTCGAGAGTTCACGAGGAAGCTATACGACTGGGAACGTCATCGTGGTATATCACCTACATCTTCAACTTTTCGTCTCTTAGGACCCGCTTATATACCATTTCTAAGACAGACAACTATCGAAACATCACCGGATGATTCAACCATGACAAGTAAGATACTAATTTTAATTAGTCCGTTGATTAAACTGTTTTCAACATGTTAATTTGGATGGCAAATTATTTAGAAGTTAGAAGCGACGAACCGGTATTGTTCAAAGTTAGCTCTTTGAAGAGATCGAAATCTGTTGGCAGCATGGTCGGGAAAACTGTTCAAAATGAATTTTTTGCTCGTCGGTCGAATAGTCTGCAGTCGTTGGATCAGCGTAGATTGAAGAATGCTGATTGTATCGGTGCGTTGCCCGAATCTAGTAAGTATTTAATTATAACGAGTCGGTACATAAATTGATTCGATTAATGATGAGTGAATTCAAGTATAAATTGTCCCTCTTACATTGACTTTTGTTTTAATAGAAATATACTATGATCATTAAAATATATATGGTCAAGCAATTATAAATATAAATATATTTTAGTAGATTACCGATACTACAAAATGTGTATCTACTATGAAAGAAGAAGTTCAGAAGTTTATTTAATTAAAATAAGTTTCAAAATTAAAATAATTTTTATTTTATCTCTAGTTTTATTTACGGTTATTAAATTTTATTTCCAGTCGATTATCAAAGAACAGAAGATATAACAGATGATATTATGGATGATTCCGAACCGGAAGCGATGATTGTTGACATCGAGGATGTTATCGAGGAAACCGCGAGTCCCCTAGAAAGGGTGCAACCACACCAAACACCTGTATACTCGGTTGCAGCGAGTGAAACGACCAGTATTGCTGTACCCCTTGGGACAGTTACATCTAGTCATGAACCTTCTCCAGTATATTTGATCGAAGTCGAAGAAAATTTGGATTCTAAGCACTGGGAATCGAAAAAGTGGAACCAGAGAAAGAGTATTTCTAGCGAAGACAGTTTAAGTATAGAACAATCAGAACCGATGAAATTTGGGAATAATGAAAAAATTTCTTCGAGTAATGTAGATTTAATTCATTGGTCTCCTGCGAGCTCATCAGGCAAAACAGCGGCATCTGATATTAAAGATAATGTTGATATCCTGGATCAAGAATTAGACAAAGATCCTACGAAATCAAACAGTTTGACTTATTCAATGGAGATTGCTTCAGAACCAAACATTAAGAAAGAAGAAAAGAAAATAGAAGTCCATTATGATGCTAATTTCGAGAGGTATATGAAATTATTGTAATATGCTAGATATCCGTAATATATGATAGATATTTTAGAAATCGGTTCATTGAGAACAGTGAAGAAAATTTATGTATTGTATTTTTCTCAACTTTGCTGAATTTGCTCGAAATAACGAATTATATTTTTGACAAAATTAAATAAGATACACGTTTGTACGAATTATTTTGATTGTTTTTATATATTCATTATTTCTTGAAAAATTAATCATACCTCCACAAGATTTTCTTTTTTTAGGATGGATGTTCCTGTAACATCGTTAGAAGATAATATTGAAAGGAGCATGAAAGAACACTTGCCCGATGGTAAGTTTAATAGTACAAAGCTCTGAAAGGATCTGAAGTTGGTCACGAAAGCCAAGTAAAGAATTCCTTGTTTTCCGTTCTAGAAACGAACGAAAACAAAACTATCCGTGAATGGAATCTTGGAAATCGGTCTATTTTTGGCGCAAGCATAAAAGAAACAATGGTAGATTCTGAGAAATTTTGCATCTCATTATCGCAGTTTATCGTTTTGTTTCCTAAATATTATTCTATCTCGATATTTTTTCTTATTATTCCCGATACTATGTGAATAGGATTCAGGGCAAGTTGTTAAAAGTTATTAATTTAATGTTAACATATGAAGCTTAATTGTCTAAAAATTTTAGTTTATCTACAACGTTCGAGTAGATTTTCCGAGGAAATGTAGAAAAATGAAAACAACGATGAAAGAAAAGTCATTGTCCTCAGAAATAAGTTTTATCATAGTGCAATCAAAAGTAGCGACCAGTCGGTACAACCAGAAGTTATCGAGCGAGAAGACACACGCGCAAGGGTGCGATAACGAAGGAGTGGGAAAGGATGAGAACAGCTATGATGGAAAAGATGCTACCGGTACTACGATTAAGTTCGACAATGAATACGAAGAAGTAAACATGGCCACCAGCAGTACTCCATGTTGTTCTTTAACAACTATCCAGACAGTGCCAAATTATAACGAAGAAACAACAAAATATTTACCACAAACATCAGCTGCTTGTAAATTAGGTATGTTTCATTAATTAAATAACTATTATTTATGCTTTCAATTTATACCGAACATTTTAAAAATTACACATATATTTATTACACATAATTTGTTAGGGGTAAACATGTTGACATTGTTATATAACATTAAACCTTCTTTGTAACTTCTGTATTCTCAGTTCACTTTTAGATTAGATTATTTCTATTTGTGTTTTGAAATACAAACCTAATATCCCATAAGAAAAAATTAAATGATAAATAATATTTTTAGATAAAGCCAAGCCTATCACAAGTGACGTAGATCTTATTTATGCCGATCGAGAAGATGTAAAAGTAAGGAAAGTAAAGGAAAATTATAGCATAATCAGAGAGGAATCAGACGATACCTGTCACGATTTACCAACAATGAAATTAGATCAAAATCACCACAAATCATGCAAATCGTGCATCGATTATCTAAGATGCGAAGAACAAAATAATCATTCAAAAGAGAACACGACGAATGCACAATCAGAAAGAAATGAATGTGAAGAACATCATGAAAATCTTTCATCTTGGATAACTTACACTGGAAATTCCTATATGCGCGAATGTCATCGGGAACCTACTATACTAACAACTGCTTATAAAGTGGCGCCTTGTCGCGATGAGCGTTGTTTTAACAGAATTGTCATTAACGAGGAAACTTTAAACAAGATAGTCGTACCTACAGCCAGTACAAGCTGTTTGGAAAATGTAAGAACCTCGAAACCACCTATGGAATGTACGACTGAGAATTTTACAAATGAGCTCCGTCGACAATCAAGTAATGATCGTGAAGTCTCGACTGATCGGGAAGCGAGTGTCAAGAAGCAAAGTTCCAATTCACCGACTCGAAATGTTTTTTAAGAGCACTCGGCCGGTAAGAAAGAAAGCAGTATCATCGACGAGGATCACGTTGTTCCAATGAAAAGTAAGAGCAAATCCAGATCAGGATCTCCTAAAGTGAACCGACAAGATGCACTCTTGAGGATGTCTCTCTCATTACCATGGCCTCTCCGGTCATCTTCCAAAGATCGGGAGATGAAAGATACGAAGGTTGACATAAACGACAAAGGAGAACAAACATCAATCGAGAAGCAAAACTTCGAGCGATGTAAATCTGTGGAGAGTTCGAGGAAACCATCGATCAGTGAAAGCAACGTTTTTCAAACGCAGATAAAGCAGGAATCCTGTATCTTCCGAGACAGAAATTCGTCGATTGAACTGCCAAAGGAAGATGGAGCATTCAATCGTTCTGTCGAACGAAAGAGTCAACGAAGTAATGTATCTGCTCAAACTATACAGAACGAACAACAGAATCAAGCTTCTTTCAGAATCAGCTTGCCCAGTTTAAAAGCAGAAGAGAAAATAAAGGAAACGACGTCTTCCACGAAATTCGATCCACAGTCATCCGACCTCATTCATAAATTGACGATCTTGTCTAACGTAGTAGCGCGACGAGACGGTCGAACGAACACGATCTCTGAGGACACGTCCCTGGAATCTCATTCGTTGAGAGTACGACGCGCCAAAGAAGACTTTTTATCTCGTCGTGGTGGTCCTCTTTGTAATTCTGTTCTGGAGCCCTCATCGACGAAGTATGAAGTTTCTCCAAGAATGTTCCCCCATTATTATGAACAAATTTCGGAAAATCAAGAACAAACAAAAGAAAAGAGCTTACCGAAGGTAAATCATATTAACTGTGCTTTGAATTCTTTGTCAGATAAGATATCAAATACTCTTGATGCATTAGAAGAGGCAAATAAAGAGAAAAATGTGGAACAGTTTGTAAACGAATACAATGCTAACGAATTGTCGAATAACTCGGTTGTTTCTCGTCCTGATCGTGTGAAGTCTGCTAGTGCTGGGATGATAAACGTGGATCCAGATACTTTTGTGCGTCTGACGGAAGCCAGTCGGGGATGCGAGTCTCTCCCAAGATCGATCTGGAAGCAGCAACAGTCTTTGGGCTCATTTGCGAAAATCGTTAGTAAATTTAAGTTCGCACGATTAATACGTGGCAAGGATATACAGGAAGAGAACATGAGTACGATTTCTAAATTATGCAGACAGAGTTTATTGATCGATGTTCGAAACGATTTCGAGAAATGGGAATCCAACGATCGAGAAAAGGTTACTACAGTGGTTAATACTGAAGAGATTAAGAAGAATGGATGATTAAGATTTTTAAATTGGATTCGCGAATTACTTAATAACGTTACTGATAGTTGTGGTATTGAAAAGCTGTAGGATTTCTAATCATTACTATACAGTGAATGTTAGACACGATTTAGAAGAAACAAAGCGTCATAACGTTACCACATGACCCTATTCATATGTATTTGGACATATGTGAGAAAATGTGAATTTGCAATATTAGATTACGACGAATCTATATGTTAAATATTATAGTAAACAACATTGTCCAACAAATTTTCACTTTCTCTCAAATCTGTAATATCCATTGGGTAACTCTTGCAGAGCTTACCTTCCTGAATACGAATCAGCAAACGAAATTGATCTATTATACTCAGTTTTCGAAAAATATAAGTTTTTCAAAGAACGCGCGATTTTTGGCTGAAGTGAAAGATTAGATAAAAACTAAAAAAATTAGGATGTTCATTCTTATCTTAAAAGTTAGATCTAAGTTCCCTACTTTACGGATATTCATAATTATAATTATTTGTGCTTTTGAATAATTGTAATTTATCACCCAAGTTTAAAAATAAGACGTCGAGTATATTTATTACGCACCATTCTTGTATTTTTAAAATAAGTTCTTTATCCAGCATAGATTTGCTATACGGTATCGTATTCTGTAGACCATTCTGAAGAAGAAATCATGGAACAGAATTGTCGAAATTGTTTATAATTAGATTAGGTAAAGAAAATTTTTGTCGGTAACGTGTATACGCTGATTTACCGCAACACAGCCATTGCTAGCTTGTTAGTTAGACTCAGCCATGCCGTAAATACGCGTAATTGACATCGAGAGTATTTATAATTTTTGATGTTTTTTAAAAATATTACTCCAATCAATATTTCCTACAGTATCTTGCATCTTAGAAATACAGTCTAAAAAGAAAAAAAAACTTCAATTCCACATTAAAGTGGCTAATTAATAATTTAGTCAATTTCAAACGAGTTAAACCCTTCTCATCATAGTCGACTTGTTCTAACTTTCGGATAAGCATATTCGTGACATCTAATCATCTCAGGAATGATAACAAAAGGAACTTTATTTTAATAATTGTATCAAACACGTATAATACAGCGAGAGATTTTACCCATATTGGTAAAGGATTAGCGAGAACTTTTTCTGAAAGTTCGCCAGATGTCACTACAAGTAGTTTTTGGCGGTATAAGCTATTGTCTCGTCACAATACTTTGGAACATGTGTCAATATATCGAAACTTGAGAATAATGATGCAGAGCTCTATAAATTTAATGAATAAAATATGATTCATACATTACGTAAATATATATTAACGCGCTTGCATTGCATTTTTGTAATTAGCATAATTGTACCGATGGTGATTAATCATGTTAAATAAATAATGTACTAGAAATGAAATTTCTTTATAATTATTTTATTAAGTATAATCAATTTTCATTGAAATTCATAAAATAAAAATTGATTTTTGATACATTCTTTTCGTGTTTCAATTCTTGTGACATGAATTTTTACGAATTTTATTTTTATATTTGCGGGTAAAGTGCAGTTGAAGTTGAACGGTACGTTGTTAAATGGCAGGACACGGATGTACAACGATAGCTAGAAATTTGTTGGCAAATATTACCATTTGAGACGAAGTAATGTAAAATAAATAAGTGTAAATGGATGAAAGTGAGTGTTAATTATTATTTAACTGTCATTTAGTTTAATCAAGGTCTGTATATATACATTTGTAGATTTTTGAAGATCTATAGTGAAAAAAGAATGAAAGTGATGAGAATTTGTAGCTACTGCCATCTGCTAATAACAGCGTGAAACATGTCGAGGTTTCAAATCATAAACTCGTAAAACTCATATACTTCATTACTTTATAACAATATTATTTGCGGAAAAATAAGTTTCATAAACTTCTAATTGTTAATAACAATCATTTATTTGATCTATGAAGAGAAAGTTGAATATTAAACATCTAAGAAAGGAAGAAATATTTTTATTAGGATTACCTTACAAGGAGAGTGCAAGTCCCTCGGGTCACCGATTTAGTTGAAACTTTGCAGGTTTGTAGATATCGTCATGCAATTTAAAAAAATATATTATTATAGTCGCAAATACTCAATAATTTTTGAAATATTTACGATTGAAGTTTTATTAGCACCATGATTATAAATTTATTTCCAACATATTTTGAGTTAAATTGTAGCGTAACAACAACCATCGAGAATTTCTATAGTGGAGGATCGGGGTTCGATTCCCGTTCACAGTTTTTTTAATATATTTTTTATTTTGTATTCATTTTCCGCCTATTACAGGAAATACAAAACCTATCGCTCATGTAAGTATTAATTATTAAATTAAACATCCTATAAGAATGTTGCCTATAATTCCAACTTTGCTGTGCAGCTATAAATTTTCATGAATTAATTACAAAAACTTGGCAATTTATTAATTTTCTACTGTCGAATTGATTTCTAGTATCCAGTTCGAATACAAATTTTACCGCCTGCGATCAGCGCCACCTATGACTTTGGAATAGTTTCGCAAATAGTTTACTAACTCTGGTTACGTGCACCTAATATATTTTAATTTATTTTAATAAATAAAATCATAAAGTTTTCTACATTCTTTAATAAATTCAGCCGAAACAGCGGTATTAATTAGACAATCAGCATTTATTTCTTTACCTGGCAGACGACAAATATGCAAAGCTACGCCTTTACAACGCAATTATAAAATTTCATAAATGAAACACAGAAATTGAGCGATTTGTTAATTTTTCTCCAAATGAACAGGAGAATGCATGGGAAATGAGGAAAAATTACAAACAAACGCCGGAAGCATTGTTGTGTCCATGCAGGTATGCCTGCATCACGAAAAGAATGTAAGTATTTGTATTAACATAACCTTTAGTTACAATTAAATAGTGTAAGTTAGAAAAGACAATATTCTGTTGAAATAAACAGGCACGTGCAACAATGGAAAAATATTGGACTCATAGAATATCATCAGCGTAGATGCTAAGAATTATACTTTATAGCGAGAAAAAATTGAAGCAGCAATATAAATATGTAAAGTATGATATGTCTATTGCATTCTAGGTCGGTTAACCATATGACATACAAGATAGAAATCTTTGATGGTCAAATAAAAATTCAGAAAATGGAGATGGTTTAGGCAGACAAAGAGGAATACAATTAATTTAAGTGATGACCTGTTATAACAACAAAATATGGAGAATACAGTGAGATTGAAAGGTATGTTGTGTTCCTGATATAAATGAATATTAATATCAGTGGTCAAAGTCAATGATCATCGCTAATGTATTAAATTTGAATAAAAGTAATGAGAAGAGGAAATGTATACTATGTCAAATCAAGAAACAGAAAAGAGGCAGCATATCTATCAAAGAGAGAAACGTGTGTAGCATTGACTTGCAAATATGAGGATCATTGAAGAGATGGAGAATGAACAATTGATAATAGTTATGAAAGGTAAAGTTAAATTGAATATAGAGTGTAAATGTTGTATTAAGGCAATAATGTCTAGTAATATCTATAGGGACTTGGACACTATAAAAGAAGAAGTTATAATTGTGCTGTGGCACATCATGGACTTCATTGGGCCAATAAAGTCAATGTCAAAAAGAGTTAAAAGGTATAATTATTCGAGAAAAGAACCATTTGGTTGACTGATTTATAAATAACTAAAGATTTAATATGAAATATTATTGATGAAGGACTTTTTCTATTATAGGAGACTTACAAACATGAGTAATATTTATATGCAAGAGCCAGCCACTAAGGGTAAAGTAATAAGTATCATTTTATAATATTTCAATGGATTGTATATCTGTTTTTAAAAATTTAACCGATATACAATATTTACTTTCTAAATTTCTATATTAATATATCAAATAATTTCTAATTTGAATTACAATAATAAATAATAAATTTTAATAAATTTGATTTTAAAGGCATTTTACATTAATAAAACTAATATATTTGTTATAACCAGGTTATAATGAAAACAACTGTTGGTGATATTGAGTTAGAATTGTGGGCGAAAGAAACTCCAAAGGCATGTAGAAATTTCATACCATTATGTGTGGAAGGTTATTAGGGTGACACTATCTCTCATAGAATTATCAAAGGAGTCATAACACGAGGTGGTGATTCAACAAGTACAGGAGAAGGTGGTAAAATATATGGAGAATCATTTAAAGTGAGACTATATTTAAAAATGAAATGAATTCTTTTTTTATTAAAAAACAATTATTGGATATATATGTTTTAGGAGGAATTTCACACGAGATTACGTTTTTGTCGACGAGATTTAATTGCTATGGCTAATGCTGGAAAAGATGACAATAGTTCCCAATTCTTTCTTACTCTTAGTTCTACACCAGATTTGCAGAATAAACATACAATCTTTGGTAAATTTACTGGAGGAACTATATCTAACATGCTTAAACTTAAAGAAGCACTTGTTGATGAGGTAAATTTAATGTTTACAAAATAATATATCAAGAATTAATATAAATATAATATTTTCTCCTTTTTGTAGAATGATAGAGCAGTTTATCATCCGAGATTGATAAAAATTATGATATTAAGCAATCCATTTTCTGATATTACACCAAGGATAATAGTACAGGAAAGTGAAGAAATAAAGCACAGTTCAAAAACTAAAGCAGCAGCAGTAAGATAAAAATCATATATGTTTGTAGAATTTAGTCCTGATAGTATTATTCTTTACAATGAAAAATTTTGTTACAGAGATTTCAATCTTTTATCATTTGGTGAAGAAGCAGAGGAAGATGAAGAAGAATCTGTGATACTAAATAAAAAGTTTCGCGATAAGAGCAAATCAGCTCATGATCATTTAACTGATCCAAAATTAAGTTCACAACCAGCTGTTGAAACCCCTGGACTTGTAAATAAAAAAAGGAAGGAAGACCGTAGTAACGATTGAGAAAGTGACGATGAAGTAAAAACTCAAGAAGAATTAGAAGTTATAAAAAAAGAGAAAGAGTTAGTTTATTGTTTACATTATAACTATGTTATAGAAAGTAGGATTTCACATTGACTGTCTTATATTTATATTTTCCGGGTAATAAAGGAAAGGATAAAAAATAAATTGATAGATATAAAAAAAGAACCAAAGAATTATGTTGTTAATAATTAACGTGTATATGTGAAACTTTGAAAGTGAATAAAAGGTACCTAAGTATATA